GGGGGGGGGGGGGGGGGGGTGTGGGGGGGGGTGGGGTTGAGAGGGAATCGAGTGTCATGCGTTAGAAGATTGCAGACGCATTAATTGAAACCGAGATTCCATATATTGAATATCTTCACATTCGCAAACCCTAGTTTTCTTGAATATGGAGTTACCATGATGAATGGTGGCAGGAAACCTTAATGTTCTTTTTTTTGGAGCGGGCCGGCTTGCTATATGATATAGGTTGTATATGATGGGAGAAGTGATAAATCTAAGGGAAGGGCGAATGATGATATCATCTATGGAGGGTAATCGGAATGAGGCTAATGACGGGTAAAGGATCCCACACCCCCTGCGATCTCGCTTCCCTCCTGTAGTCTTCCTTCCTTCCTGTTCGGTTTTTTTTTTCTCCCCCTTTCTTTTCCTGGACCAGCCATTTCCATCGACGGATGGATGGATGAGTGGAGGAGACTCGGCGGTTTTCCCCCCACGATCTCGTTTCCATTTCGCGGAGTCAATGATCCTTCGTCTTTCCTGTTATCGAGGCCTTTTTGGGAGACCTCGTTGAGGTTGCCGCCTTGATGGATTCGGTGGAATCCGGCGTCTATGGTGAAGTTGTTTTTAAGTTTGATGACATGAAAAGCGTGAAGAAAATAATTCGATTGCATGTTTCGGTCGAGGCCATGCATTGGTGAAACTCCTCATTAAGAGAGTTTTCAGGGCATCGCCTGCGCTGAAGCTCCTTATTTTGAGGTTATATGAGTGTCGGTACTAGCTCAAGAGTCCTCATTGTTGCCCTTGGGGAGTCGTGTCGCAGTACCTTACGATGCGATGTCATCCTGTTGTTTTGGTGATGTTGGATCTTCCTGCTATATTTGCCTCGTCCAGTCTGTTAAATGTTGGGCTGTCACGTGTAGACGGAAAATTTAAATATATTTATTGGCCCAATCATAATTAATTTTCATTAGATATAACTATTACTGTTATTTTATTACTTCCCTTCCGTGTAGTCACGCATTTCACCAAAACTATTACCTGTGATAATAATAATAATATAAAATCTATTTGTGACTTCGTTTTATTGAATGTGGCCATCATTTTGAGCAATTGACAATTTTTTCTTGTTGCCGAACGCCTGAGCAGTCAGCTGTAGCAACAACCGAATTCATGGCATCTTTTGTGAACAATCAGAAGAAATCCTGCTAAGGTTTTCCATGAAATTCGTTTCATTACCTTGCGCCAATACTCGTTTTCTCTCTTGATTCGAAGCCGGATGACACCATCCGAACATCTGGTCGAATATCTGCGTTCATATAGATGGATTTGAGGGATTACTTCCTGGATATTCCCGTCATCGGCGGGGCTTGAAGGGGAGAAGGGAAAAAAATTGCGGCCTGTTAGGAAGAAAAGGGGGAAAAGGGATGAAGAGAGAGAGAGAGAGAGAGAAAATGTTTTATCAGAGAGAGACAGAGAAGAGAGAGGGAGTGCATTGGGAGGAAATTGCCCGTGCACATTCAGGCTTTTCAACGACTCAGTGCTGTCTGTCCCGGAAGGAAACGTGGATGGGCCCAAATGATATAAAGGAGGGATTTCAATGCTAATGGAAAGGAAAAACGACCCTAATGGATGACACTCAATCTCTTTCAGCCTCCCATATCACTGGCCATTCTCTTGCTCTGCCCTTCTCTCTTTCCCTCCCCCCTCTTGACTTTTTTTTTATCCGTTCTTTTTTTATTTTCTTTTGATAGCTACCCGTGGATTTCTTTGGGAGGGTGATCCAGAAGCCCGTCGGCTCTTCTTCATCTGCCCTTGAGGCCTCTCAGCCAGGTTCGTGTCCTTCAAGTTCGAATCGTTTTATGTTATTTGAAGGAAATTTCCCTTTGTGGGGTTTTTCATTTACAACATTTACTCTTCCTGTTCCGTTGTGGATTTTTCTAATAGCGTTTTTTCTTATTATTTCTTTTGCTGTGCAACCTTTAGCATTTGCATT